AGTTTAACGATCTGACGTCCACGGAGATTTCAACAGGCTTGCTCTTTTTTTCTTCTCAAAACATTTGATATTGTCTTTGTCAACTCTGACTTGTTTAAACCTTGGAGGCATCTAAATAAATAATTGAAACTATAATACCAAAAAACTAAACTCTATAAGTTTAGTTTTTTTAATGCAATAATCATAAGAAAAGTTTATAAGAAATTTAGTTTTATTTATCAATCACGCGTATTACCTATTCTTGTTTTTTTATATAAAAGGCAAGTGACTCTTCTTCATCTTTGGTAAACATTGAACAATGTTCCTCCTCCTTTCTAATTTTAATTACACCAAATTATTTGCTAACTGTTTTTATATCTTTAATTAGTGAAAATTTTTCTGAATTAATTGTGGCCTAACCATGTTTATTGCTGATTCAACACCACTCAACTGCTTCTTTTAACTGCTTATTTTTGATCTCTACGATATCTCTTATAACATTGCATTTTGATTTGATATTTGATTTGAATCTAAGATTAAAAACTTTCCCATTTCTTATTTATCCAAAGTACAGTATAAAGTATATATTTTATCCAAAGTACAGTAGTAAAGTATATATTTTATCTATAAAAAAATATCAAAACATACTTTAGCACTTTACTTTTGTAAACGCACTTTATATCACAAAGCAAACAGGCTAAATTGTGTTTAGGAGGAGGTTTGATAGTAAAACTATACAGAAGTATACTTTAAGCAAAATATTTATTTAATAAGGTCAAGATTGAATAAAAATAATTTTTTTAAACTAAGTTTTATTCACTTAGCATTCTGAGGTTCCTTAATCTAGCATTTTGTAGTTGAATATAAAAAATAAAATGGATTAGAGAACCAAGCATTAAAAAATATACTCAGCAAGGAAAATAATGCTTTTATGCTGAAGTTTATGATTTTTTAACTAAAGTCGGAAAGCGTTACAACCTATGATTTAACCTGACATTCTGAGGTCTCTATTGAAAAAAAGTATATCTTAAATATTTATCTTAAGACATATGAAAATGGTACCTCCCAAAAATATAACTTTTTTGGCATTCCAATAGGAGTTTTTGTCAATTTTTAAAAATGAAAACTAAATGGCTATCCAATTAATTTGTCTTAACCAGGACCTTTAAAACACCTAGCATTATGAGTCTCTTTACCTGTATCCCGAATATTACAAAAGTGAAAAAAAAAGAAGATAAATCTAAAATAGCTTCATACTCATAGCGAGCTTTATTAAAAATAAGGAAAAAATATTCTCAACTTAAAAGAGAATCCCCTAGCATAGTATACGTATGCAAACACAAGCATCTTTACTTGATTGTACGTGACTTTATATCATACAGTTATCACAAAATTAACATTATTGAATAACCCAAAAGTCTAAAATTCCTTCAAGAATCCAGATAATAACTTTTAGACTACAAAAAATTTCTTTCGTTTTTAAACAAATTCAAAGAACAACTTGACTATTTGAACAAAGGTTTAAAATATTTTAAACTCTAAGACAATATTAGCTATTTAAATAAGTTCTGTAGATTCAAAAATAAATTAGCTGTTACTACAGATAGTAACTTTATATAAAAAAGTAAAGTATTTTTTTACCGAAATTACTCCAAAAAGAAGCTATTGATTTAGCACATGTAGATTAAGTGCAAAAAGGAAAGCAAAAGCCTTAAACGACCAAATCCATATTTCTTACATTAATCTTACTACCAAATAACGAAGATGATGGAGAGGAAGACTATCTTGTTTGTAGAAGGAATTGTAGAAGTTAAGGGGGTTGCCCAAGAAATAAACTTTTTTTGACCCTTTTTTAAATAACCGAATTTTGGTATATATGGCTGGTCTCAACTTAAGAAATATTTGAAACACACCAAACTATTTTTTTTGCCTCGGCTACCCTATTTTATCGCTAAAATGAGACAAAAAATGCAATATTTCATAACGTAATATCTGCAGATATGAAGATAGTTACTACTTTAAATTTTCAACATATCTTCAGGATGATAGTAAAATCCATTTGACATATCAATTTTTTGATTGACTCTTTTAGTAAAAAGAGTGTTTAAAACATAGTATTATTTGTATAAATTTTACAAATTAAAAAGTTATTTACCTCAACAAAGAAAAAGCCTATGATGTATGGATTATATATAATATAAGAGTATTTCCTGAAAATTCCAACTTATTTCATCCATTCAATCTTGAGATACCATGTTTTAAAATTTTTAAAATTATGTAAAACCATAAACATGAGAAAATCAGGTTTTTGTCTGAAATTATAAGAAAAAGATGTTTAAAACCACCAGCAGCGTAAGATTCCCACTTTTCACTTTTATTCTCTTTACCCATGTACCCTTTTTTGACGGCTCTTTTTAACGATTGGACTCGATCACTTTTCCATTCTAGTAACACGTTAACAATCTCGTGCGGTTATCTTTCCATGTAAGCTAAAATATCTTAAAACTGCATTCAACCCGCAACTCCCAATATTATAATGTAAAATAGCTGAGTTAATTGAACATTCAAATGTTCTTCGTTCAATAAAAACATTTTTGGGACATCGAGTCCATACAACTTAGTTAAACGATTCATTTTTTTTTTTTAAATTCGTTTTTTAGGTGCCCCAAGAAGTCCTAACGGTCTTGTCACAGAGCAGCGCGGAAGTGCATTTAACCAGAAAGTTTATGCCTACATCTATAACGTGGCGCAAAATATGTCCAAATTCATTAGTGTTTTGAGTTTGCCTGTCAACGTTTGAAATTGTTCAATAACTCATCGTTTTATACACTTACAAAGATCGGATTTAAAATGTAATGAATGGGCATTGGTAAACTTATGGTGTTTTTCAATGTTTTTGTCTTATAAGTTTTATCTAACTGCCATATGCACCAAGAACTGTCATCGCGTGGACACATTTCATGCCGCTGGTTCTCATCAGTAAACACAGTAAAGTGAAACAACAATGAGCCGATTGCATTTTTCATGTCATAGACATTGTTTAAGTTATTTCTTATAGCTTTTCCATAATAGGTTTGCATTGAGTTGATTGTTTTTTCATTCAACTTCAATTGAAGTCAAAAATGAAGAAAAACGTAAAGAAAAAAAAAGAAAAAAAATGTAAAGAAAAACCTTATATGTCACTACACCTTTTCAAGATGTAATTGAGAAAACAAAAATTGTAATTAAGAATCGTTAGATGTAATTGAGAAAACAAAAGTTGTAATTAAGAAACGTAAGATGTAACTGAGAAAACGTAAGTTGTAATTAAGAAACATTAGATGTAATTTAGAAAACGAAAATTGTAATTAAGAATTGTAACATGTAATTGAAAAAATGTAAGTTGTAATTAAGAAATAGAAAGATGTAATTGAGAACACGAAAATTTTAATTTAGATATCGCTTTAAAAGAGTAAGTGTAAAATGGCGCTTAAAAAAAATGGCGCGTAAAAAAATGGAGCGTATAAAATGACGCACTTAAAAATGACGCAAGATTTGTAGCGTAAATTTAATTTTTTAGGGAAAAATTTAGGGAAAAATTTATAATTTTTGGGCAAATGAAGTTAACATAATAAACACTAAAAACATTTTAGGGAAAAATTTATAATTCAATTAAAAATTATAATTAAAAATTATATAATTAAAAATCACTTTATTGATCATTTAAGTACCAACTTGTACGTTATCCATATTTAAAATATATATATTATTGCATAGTGCGTGGTTGTGTGTTGTACCGCACGTGCACAATCTCCTCCCATTATTGTATTTTTCGCCTCAATTACAATTCGTTCTAAGTACTGCATGCGCTGTTCCGCAATCCCGTCACCTAATACAGGTGGAATGCAAATTGCATTTTTAACGTTACTTATTATCTGTTACGACGACCAAATCCTCCAAACGATTCCCCAAAAATTCTGTTCACAAAAAACATTAAAAAAAAATTTTTTTTCAAAAAAAATCAAGATTTATTTCTTGGGCAACCACTTTAAGTAAAAACAAACTGAAGCAATACAAATACAAAAAACCTACAGTGACTTAATGTTCTCCCTAAAAAAAATATATTTACAAAGTTATATATTAAAATTAGTTATCGACGAAAACAGAAAAAAAGCCGAAACCAAAATAAACCATAATTTTCGGGTACTTTAGTTCAGTGCCGAAACCGAAACCGGTTTTTCGGCAAATATTTTACCGAAACCAATACCGACATTTCGGCTTATCAAAATTCATTAGAAAATTTTATTTAAAAATGCAACTTTTACATTTGTTGTTTTTTTTATACGTGTATTATATTAGAATTGATTTCACATTTTTCACAAATTGAGATATTATACATAAGTTGGTTTATAAATAAATACACTTTCTTAAAAATTACACTTTGGCTTATAAATAAATACACTTTCTTAAATGAACAAAAAAAGACTTATTTAAATTACTTTAAGCTTGTTTTCTTTGAATAATCGTTTTTAGTCAAAATATTGTGCACACTGCAGTTATTTGCGGTTTTGATACTTTTAAGAAGCAAACGGAAGCTACCCAGTAAGCACAGAACGTTTTTAAAACGTTTAAAAAAGTTGTTAAAACGAATTTTAACGTTTTTTAAACGTTTATAAAACAATCTGTGCTTACTGGGTATTCAGTAACTAAAATTTTAAGTAATTTGTGAACAATCGGCTTAAAATTTAGAAATAATAAAATATTTTGTGAATTTTCTCAAAAAAATCACTATTTTTCTAAATTAAATAAAAATTTAATCTTACAAATTTTTCGGTTTTCGGTATGCTTTTCAACTTGAAACCAAATTTTCGGTATTGGTTCAAATTGAAATTTCGGCCGAAACCGATACCGAAATAGAATTTCGGTCAATCACTAATTAAAGTACAATCTTTGGGGAAAATGATAATATCAAAACAACGAACTGAAATTAATAGGCCACACAAACATGTTATTCAAAATCTAAAACATACATTTGATTTTAGGTGACAACGAGGAAGATGTTATATCGCAATTAAAAGAGGAGAACAACTATCACGAGGAAGACTCGAGTGCGGCTAACCTTATATATATACGGAAATTCTTATTCTAATGAGGGGTAGTGAACTAAATAAAATTTGAATATAAACTTATAATACTGGAACATATTAATAGTTGTTTTTTAATTGTGCTTTGGTACTTTTTTTTCCTATTTTCTTATTATCTAGTAAATATTATCTTATTTTTTATCGTTTCAGACGATTTGGGCTGCATATCATATCAATTGACGGTTATTTAAAAAACTCTTGGATAGACTAAGAGTAAGGCAAGTTCCATGACGCATTTTGATTAAATTTAATATATAGAAAATAATATAATTTTTTTATTTCAAGGAGTACTACTTGAAAAAACTACGTAAGTGAAACCATAAAGTTTGCAATTAGCACCAGGTTCATTTTCAAATACAGAAAACTGTAATTCACGAACGTCAATAAACAATGCTTATTGACGTTCGTCAATTAAAGTTTTCTGTATTTGAATTTTTACTGTTTATTTATATTGCTTAGTCGTCCGTAAAGAACGTTACTATTTTGAAGTAAATATTTGACTCCTTTCGCCATTGTTTTTTTTTTTTTGCCTATATCCCTGTCCCCCTTAAAAAAGATGTCTTAAATCGGGACTCCCCTTTTTTTAAATTAAAAACCGTTTTTAATTTATGCATGCTAATTGACATTTTTCATTTCAATTTATGCATGTTTAATAAAAAATAATTGTTTTTAAAAAGTTTTTAATTGTTTTTATTCTTAAGGCTAGTAATATTAAAAATATTATTATATGTTGTTAACAAGTTATTCTTAATAACTTATTATTAACTTATAATAATCCAAGTAGCGAGAAAAAAGTTCTTCCAAATTTTAGATAACATTTTAGATATAATTTCTTATATACATACATACATATATACATACACACATACATACATACATACATACATACATACATACATACATACATACATACATACATACATACATACATACATAGATTCCCTATATATATATATATATATATATATATATATATATATATATATATATATATATATATATATATATATATATATATATATATATATATATATATATATATATATATATATATATATATATATATATATATATATATATATATATATATATATATATATATATATATATATATATATATATATATATATATATATATATATATGTATATGTATATATATATATATATATATATATATATATATATATATATATATATATATATATATATATATATATATATATATATATATATATAAAATTATGCCTAAAATGTTATCTAAAATTAAGAAGAACTTTTTCTCGCTACTTTGATTAGTTTTTAAAGCAGAACTCTTTTTTTTTCTAAATTTTGAAGTTGTTACCAAATTTTACTTACATTTACTTTAATAAGTTTTTTTACTTAAAATTTAGTTTTTAGACAATATTTGTTTTGAAAGAACAATGTTTTAGTGACTTTATAAATATAATTTTATAGAATTAACTTAAATAATAATAATTTTTTTTTTTTTTTTTTCTCGCTACTTTGATTAACTCAAAAAAAAAAATTTTTTAACTTTATAAAAAACTTTTTAAAATTAGATTAAAAATAAATTATTAAAGTTTGCTAACTATTAAAACTAACTAACTTATTAAAATTAGTTAAAAACTAACTAATTTATTCAAAAATATATTAAATACATTTTTTTACATAATTTTGTTTAAAGAACTATCGTCAGATTACTGTTTCTAATTATTTTAGTTATTTTCAAGGCTTTTTTTTAATATTCCTTACTTCAACTCATAAAATAAATATCTGATGCAAGTACATAAAATATATTTAAAAAATAAAACATAATATGTTTTTATACATGAATTCATTAATTTCCGAAAATTATGTTTAATAAACATGCATAAATTGAAATGATAACGTCAAAAAACATGCATAAATTAAAAACGGGTTTTAATTAAAAAAGGGGAGTCCCGATTTAAGACATCTTTTTTAAGGGGAACAAGGGGTATAGACAAAAAGAAAAATCAATGGCGAAAGGGGTCAAATATTTACTTCAAAATAGTAACGTTCTTTATGGACGACTAAGCAATATAAATAAACAGTAAAAATTCTTGTATAAAAAGTTTATAAAATATTTTCACGGTTTGTAAAGCCTTTAAAATTTTTTCTGAACTTCGTTTTATTATTACTTAATAAAAGTAAAAATTATATAAAACATTGTCAATTTTAATCAATATAATGAAATTTAAAGTTTAGATGTTTAGTTTTATTTGGCACTATATAATAAAAGTACTTAATTTGATTTTTTCCTATTTTTTCTTGGGTGCTTCTAGAGAGGGTAAAAAAAGAGTTTTAATTAGAAAATTATGAGTATAAATATGTTTTATACAAACTTCCTACTAAATTTTGGACTTTACATCATAAAATCTTGAAAAGATATAACCGTAATCTATTTTTGATTTTTTTGTTGTTAATATTGCGTTTGTTTGTTTTCGATATCTTTTTTTTTTTTGCTTTATTTGATGATTTTTTTTGATTTTGTCTAAACAAAAGTAAAATCACTTTTAACATTTGCCTTTAAATGAGAGATTTTTGGAAGCATTTTTTTAATTTTACCTGGAATAAATAACTAGAGACTTCATAACTTGAAACTCATGGTGCGTCAATGACTTACAATAGCTTTTTGAAGGTGCAACAAAAGGAAGTTTTCTCCAAAGATTTTACTCTTCCTGATACTTTGTAAGTTAAAAAAATGATTGATTGAGTAATAATTAATATGCTGCAATGGTTATAATCTTATTTTAACTTTATTTATTCTCTTATAAATGTTATGTGATTTTTATACTATCCATGAAAAGATTGTTTTAATATCTTATTACCTTTTTTAGGGATCCATTTCAACCTAAACAATTAAAGGTAGAACAACCTTAAAAAACTTCGAACAACAATCTCTCCGTGGGAAGCAGCTTTTAAGTGCAGAAGTCCGTGCCAATCATGAAAATGGTGCTCCAGCTTAATCACCGATAAAACTGGGGTTGATGGTCCCCACCTGAAGATATTGTTGAAAAAGCTTTGAATGCAGTTCTGAAGTCTCCACCTCAGATGCCTACCTTAAAAACACCAACTACTGCCCTTGCCTTCATCCTCAACAACAATATTTCCAAGAGAACATTTTGTCAAATAAAAGAGTAATGTGCTGAAAACTTTTCAAACATCTGGCTAAACTATAATGCTGTAAGTGAAGCATATTCTGTGATTCTTTCGTTTGTTGAAAAAAAAGTCAATTATCCATGCTTTGCTGATGTACTATTAACTTAGGTTCCTAATTTTAATTTCAGGTTCCTGAAGCAAAAAAAGACTGGCGACCCTTAAGAAATTCAAGTAGATACACTGACAGCAAAAGCTCCACTTCAAAACATTTTGGACCAAACAGTTAAAAGGTAAAAAAGAATCTAGCATGCAGGTTTAAAAAATTTTATACATTTTTAATCAACTTTCCCATAAAAACATTTTTTCCTTATAGTTAGAGTATTCTTGGAAGATGCCCTTTTAATTGAATGGCTTAAAGACCAGTGTCTCTGTCCAGGAATCTATGAATCTTCTATCAAAAGGATGAAAATGGGAAAGTTCCAGGTGGCAAAGCATACCTTGTCTCACAAACGGCTCCACTTCAAGCCAGAGATGAAAGCAACAAAGATATGATATTTTACAACAACAAGAATGTTAACAGTGGCAGTTTATGTTGTCCAATCAGAGTAGCAATTGAATATGAGTCTAAACAAAACTTAGCTTGTGAAATAGTTAGACTCCATGAAGAGATTCTCAACCTTTAAAATTTAAAAAATCGTTTTTTGTCTGATGCAGGCAGCTTGGTGGCTTTTGAACCTTGCAGTTTTATAATTGATACTTTAAGAAACTTTTTCCTGCATTCCAAATATTTAAGGCAACTTTTTAAAAAAAATATTCTAGTAAAACTTTAGAAACAAAAATAAAGTTATGTGTCAATTTTAGTTATGATTTTTCAAAATTATAAAATTCTTTCCAGCTCAAATTTATGGCATTCCTGAATCTCTTGTCAGAAACTTGGCTACAATTTGGAGCGCACAAGCTTGTGGATTTACCTTGCTAAAGCATTTGATAGGCTTTGTGATGAAACTAAGGCAATCTACTACTGATTTTCAATCATACCAACTCTTCACAAAGTTCTCTAATATGGTAAGGCTTTGGTTGAAAACTCCTTCCTACAGGGTTGACAAATTAAGAGCCAAGAAAAACCCACCATGTTTTCATGCGCTTGACCAGATCTGACCATGTCAGAAAGATTTCATAGACTGATGATTTTAAAGACTTGTTTTTGTGTTTGATTGATTTAAATGACCCTGTGGTTAGAAGTTTTTCAACAAAACTCAAAAAACAAGAAAGTTATTTACAAATGAAATCAGGAAATCGCTTTTAACTTCTCATTGCAGTAGTTGGGGAGTCCGAATCTGATTCTGGAAATGGTCTTTGAACCTTACTGATAGTTTTTAGTCCAGTTTATCAATTTTATTATTTAAAAATATTATCGTGTTCACTTGGCAAGAGTGAACTTATACTTTGATGAAATCTTCCAGGTTTTTTGTATTATTACTGCTATTTTAACTTTATTTGGTGTCAAAATAAAATTTTTTCCAATACTAACTATTTTTAACCAAATTATTTAACCAAAGTCCAATGTAATAATTTTGAAATACAATACTTTAACATGCATGGACTAATTTCAATTTCTAGAGTTAATCAACAACCCTCCTAATTGACTGCAACAACTTCTAAATGTAGATTTTCTAGATCGATTGCAACAACTTCTGAATCGCTGCTATGTTGTAACAACAGTTGATTGAGAATTTAGTGCAATGAACAATATAAAAAAATCAATCAGTTTCTGCCACTTATATGCGTTCACAGCATGTTAGTCTATATGTTGAAAATCTAATAAATGTGTTTGTTTTTTTGCCTTCATAGGTGAGAATTGGTCTAAAAAAATTTTTAATAACTTATTAATTTAATTGAGCTGCTATTTTTGCTTCAATAGTTAATAGATTTAGCGCAGACAACTGGACTTGTTAAATTTTTGTTCTTAAATGTGTTCTAATTCTTTTTATTGCAATGAAAGGTCATTTTCTATTTTCGAATTTCTACGTTAACAGGTTATGTCAAACATAGCATAAGTGCTGCAATTATGTTAGTGAGTGAGCTTATGTCACAATATGTTATTGTGGACACGGGTAAAATGATGAAATGCGGGAAATTTCTAAGTATAAAATTCGGTATTAAATTATGGAAAATTCTCCTTAGCCCTATAAAAGCATTTTACCAATGCTTTCACAAATTGAGCAAACTGAAATACTGTCCACATCTTTAATTTCCGTTTTGAAACTTTTTTTTCGTTAAGAAAAAGACGTTTGTTATGTTGTTAATAAAATCGCATACAACTTTATTATTTATAAATTAATTAAGTTTTAATTTGTTAGATATAAATAAATAAAAAGTTGCTCACTGTTTGAAGTTTTAATAAAGTTTATAAAAATAATAAATAATAAAGATAATTAATAAAAATAATAAATAATAAAGATAATTTATAATAAATAAAGATAAAAAAATTTAAATCTTAAAAAGAGCTTGGATTTCTTATGTTTTTTTACCTAAATGACATCATCTTGTAGCGCTAAGAAATCCAATTTTATGTAAAATGTTATGTAGCTAGCTACATAGTATTAGTACAATTTATTAATGCTGATATTTTTATGCATGTTATATTATTTTTTTTATAGTGACAACCTTTTGAATATTTAAAAAAAAAGTTGGCTTGGGCTCCTATTAATTTGGGCCTCTTCCCGGCTGCGGGCTCTTCGCTACGCTACTGCTCCCAGATTAGGTTTATTATTTGCATGTAGAATTAAGTGGTGTTAAAAATTATCAAAGAAACTCAGCTTCGAAAATAATATTTAGTTAGCCTAAGGCCTAAATTTGCAATGACTAGGTCTATTTGGAACTTGCCGGGCTCTTGGTGGGTGCTAATAATTTTCCTGGGATATGAAAAGAGTATTCTAAAATGTAAGTAACATGTCAAATTTTTTATTGGTAGGTCGTATGTTGACGTTGCCTTCGTAGCTTTTTTTACTAAATTGGCCTTAAGTTGCCCACTGTTAGAACTAAGTTGCAAGCGTTACTTCCGCTCAACGTAATGTTATAGTTAAATTTGCAATGACTAGGTCTACTTGGAACTTGCCGGGCTCTTGGTGGGTGCTAATAATTTTCCTGGGATATGAAAAGAGTATTCTAAAATATATATCAAGATTTGCTTGCAAAAAAATTATAATTTTTACTGAAAATAATTCTCAGTCAAATAATGGAGCTATAACATTAAAACAATAACGAACTTCTAGTAAAGATTTATTTAGTTTTATAAACGCTAGTTTTAAATAAAATTAATACCAATTAAATTTTTAATCATCATCATCAAGTTGTACAGTTTTACTTTTATTTAAAAATTGTATTGCGGCAACATCTTTTTAATTTTATTTATAGCATTTATTTGCTGTTATATAAAGTCTTTTGTGTATTATACAGTAATAAAACATTTCTCGAACAATACGCCAGTGTGACCGAAGTGGTTATGCCGCAGCGTTTCTGAAGTGAATCGCCGTGGTTCCTTACAAGCGTAAGTATCGACGGCATTTTTTTTTTAATTCTTTTTTAATTAGTCTTTTTTTTCATTAGTCTTTTTTGATTTTTTAAAATACAAAATAAAATATTTTTAAAGTTATATAAATATTGTATACATAACATATAAAAAGATACTATACAGTATAACAAGCGAAGCAGAATTTTTAAAAAAGTTTGAAGCTTTTAAAAATATCAAAACACCGGGAGAAATTTGTAGCGCATATGCCATGATAGAGATTAAGTTATAGTGATAAGTTAATGTGGTAGATAATTTGTTTTAATAAACTGCGGATATTTTGAAAAAAAAATAATGGTATTAAAATTAATAAAGAAAAAATTGAATAAGCCCGTCCGGCTACTTCAGAAGATGCTGCAGTGGAGGGAAAAAAAAATTGTTCGTTACTAGCAAAAACTTTAAAATTTCATTTTATATAAAATTTTTGCTATAAATATATACGGCAGATATATTTATAACACCATATAAATATAACGCCAGATTAAAAAAGCTGAAAATGTATTGCGACAAGACGACACCGAACTTTTCCAAAATTTTCCAAAAATAAAAGTAAAATAATATAATTCAGCTGATAAAGTAAAATAAAAAAAAATATTTTCTTAGCAACTATCATCGGATGAATCACTGTTATTTTCACTATCCCACAGTGGGCCAGGTGTTGGAAAAAAGTATAAAAAAAATATTCTCAAAAATGACATTGTTATATACCATTTTATAGCTTAAACATCCGGCTTTTATAAAATGTATATATTTCTGTATAACTATTATGCCGTTTGCATTTTAAGCTGTTAATAAAAAAGGTATTTTTTTTTCAAGTTTTTTTTTTTTTTGTTTTTTAATTTAATAATATTTTTCGTGTTAGTAATAAGCATAAAATTGGTATTAATTATTAAAACTTCATTTTTTTATTGAATAATTAAATAAAACTAAGTATTATCTATCAAATGAGCTATTGCAAAATTATTTTACACGTAAGCTAAATCAAATAAATTGATTTCTAATGATGGCGAATTTAAAGAACTTTTTTTAGTGAAAATTTCACTTAAATAATGAAATACTTTTAAGCTCCAAGGTGCTCCAGAAATTTGAGACTTAAAATATCTTGCCCAATATGTACATTACCGATATATACTTTACCTATTGTCGGCGGGTGTCAGCTGCGTCTCTATTAATGATTTTTACAGCAAATTTTTTAGCAAATTTTTTAGCAAATTATATTTTTATCACATTAAAATAAACATATAAATATTTGGAGTTTGTTTTATGTCCAAATGTCTCAAAAATAATATATTTTTTGTATTTGTAGGCTGAAAATGAAATATTTTGATATCTATGCATTAATTATGCATAAACCTAATAATCTACAAATATCTGACTCTGCCATTGTGGACAAACTTATTGATGCTATGAATTTGGATTGCAACAAGCAGCAATTAGGAACTATAATAACGCATCTACGAGATAAGTGGCGCAAGTCATATTGCAGCATGGCTCGATTTGAAGAAAAGAACAAAAAATGGCTGCAAAGCCATGTTCCTGAAAATTTAAATGTAACACCAATACCTATTGGAATACCGCATAAGACAAACTTTGATGACTACTCTACTAAAACCAAAAAACATAAAGTTAGCCACTTAACTGAAATGTGTTCTGCTTCTGCGTTACAATTTGCTTCAGAAATTAAACGGAGAAAAGAAATCCAAACTGAAAAAACCTTAAAAAAAGATTGTAGAATGTCTAAAATCGAAGCTCTTTGTCTTCTTTTAGATGCTAGATTGACAAAAGCTTCCTACCAAATTATTCGAAATCAAGCAGTTGAAATGGGAGTTGATATATATCCTCCATATAATGATGTTCGGGATGCAAAGCTGTTATGCTATCCTGCAGATAATCTGTCTCAGACTTTTCAGCTGAAATAAAACTGCAAGCTTTGGTTAATCATACAGAAAATAGAACATGCAAGGCACAGTATGATGTCCTTAGCACTGAAGGCACTCCAGATACGGGCACTCCAGAAAGGAAAAAAAGTTATGACTTTTTTCCAAAAATATGGGATTCTGGCCCACTGTGTATCCGAAGAATTTAACCCTAAATAATCTTCATCGCCACACAGAATTGTATTTCCAACCAGCTGTGTTGGTATTACAAGTGGGACAATTAAATTCAAAACTTCTAACGGTAATTTACTCGCTCTCTTACTCGGCAATTCTCTCTATGAGTTGATGACAGATCTGATGTTATCAAAAGCATATTGAGCAAATCTATATTTTTGGAAATGCGTGAGTTTTTTCTTTTATGATGCTTGCGAAATTTAAGAAAAGCTTTAATGCAGGCTTTTTAAGACTTTTTTGATAGCTGTCCGATTGACATGTTTTTATAGCCTCCGTGTTATGTGCAAGTATTTTGTGCACAGTAACAGGCATACCACGGATATAGATTAAGATGAAAAATTTTGATTTCAGTACAAAGTTTTTCAAATTCATAATAATTAATATTATAACCTAAGGAAAGTGTTCTTAATAAAAAAGTGAAATTTTTAATAAGATTGACGTCTAAACCCGTAATCTCACTACTTAACTTTGGCTTCATAAAAAACCTGTAAACTGTGTTCCCATCATTTGTATTCCCAAAGCCAGGTTTTGGTTTATCTACAATAAGATCCTTATAGTTTTTAAATTTTTGTTAGATATCTTCTCAACGTTTTTGGACACTAGATTTATATTCATCGCTTCTAGCTTGCCACGTTTTTATATCTAAATGATAGCTAATGTGTAACATACACTCAAAAAAGCTAATCCACGCATGCAAAGTAGACAGACCAAAACCATAATGTTCTTTTTTAACAATTAAGTCTTTTAGTTCACCGTTCATCATTTTTGGAGTTGCACCACATACATATACATATATGTATATAACATTTTTGTTGGGAACTTGTGTCAGTCAAGACATTGTAAACTTTTCCATCTATCATTGAGAGTATTAGGTCATGTTTAATAGCAATTTGAGATACCCCGAATCTTATTGATGTTGGAATAAGTTGAGAGACTTCTTTTAAAACTTGGTTAGTTTCTGTTATAGTAAATACATTTTATTCTTTTGAAAAAATAAACTTAATTGATCGGCAAAAAAGTTTGAATGAAGGTCGCGGATTTTGTCAAATAATATTTCGGCCGTCACTCAGTCTCAACGGAACAAAT